TTTCAAAATACTTTCTTCAAACTCACAAACACAAGGTATTTTCAAATGAGCTAGCATCTAAGAGCCCGTAGATAACTACAAATGAAAAGGGTGCTAACACCTTCCCTTTCCTTAATCTACCCCCTTACTTAGAAATAATCTCGAAAGGTATTTTTTTGTTCTTTTCACCATTTCCTTTGTTGGATAAAAGAAAAGTCGGTGGTGACTCTTTCTTATCGCAATATTTGTGAATACAAACGCAAAACCAGTATAACAATCAGTTATCCCACCGTATTACAATCATCATCCGGCTGCACATGATCATCTTCACGTGCAGGTACATGCGTGAGATGTGGGGTGCAGGATCCTCCAGTCTGTGTGGGATGTGGAGTGCTGGATCCTCCAGTCTGCTGGAATGATAAGAGCATCTGTGTGGGATGTGGGATGCTAAAGTAAATACTCCAGTCTGCTGAAAGGATGAGGGTATCTGTGTGGGATGTGGAAAACATGATCCTCCAATATGCTAGAAGGATGAGGGCATCTGGGTCTGAGGGAAAAGAAAACCAGGTGGCCTAACAAAAGATGGTACCCCATACAGACTAATAAAAGACGAATTCCTAGAGGAGAATAATGGCACAAAAGGATGAGTACTGGCCATGGACATATGATCGACCTGACTCTGGGGGAGAGGGCACGTGGCCGACTGAGGTGCTTCACATGTTACTAACCTCGGATGTTGGGACTTCTTATCACTATTCTTACTCTTATCAATTCGAGGTGGCATTTTACCTATTTATATAGAATACATACTTTATATATATATATATATATATATATATATATATATATATATATATATATCATCAACAAAAATAATAAATTTGAAAAATACATTCTCATCAATAGATTTTCATTAATACATTCAATAGATGATTCACTGTTCTCATCAATACATTTTCATTAACACATTCAATAAATAGTTCATTATTCTAAATCTTCATGCTCGTCATCCATACATTCTCATTATCTGATGTGATATTATCCTCCAATCCAAACTCTTCATCATGCTCCCCGTCCACATTATTATCAACCAATAATGTAGACGCATCAACTTGATGTCCCTCAACCATTGTATCAGACAAACTTGTAATTTGTTCATCTGCAATCACATCATCAATTTGCTCAACTTCATCAACTTGGTAAGCAACATCTTCCACCAGATCGCTAATTTCAATATGACCCAACAATTTTATTTTTATTACAACACACCATTCTCGTTTACGTGGTACAAATGAAGGATAAGGAACATAATAAACTTGTCTAACAATATGGGACATTATGAAAGGGTTATATTCTTTATACCACCGATCCATTTGAATCTCAATAGTACCATATGACTTATCTATTTGTGTGTCTCTAGTTGGATCATACAATTCACAATAAAACAAGACAACTTTATTTTCCTAGTCCAAGTCATTGTATACCAACTCATAGATATGTTTAACAAAGCCGTAGAAGTCATCTTCATCGTCATTTGTAACTCCTTTTATAAATACACCACTGTTTATGGTTTTTTTCCTTCAGTATATGTCTCAGTGTGAAATTTATATCCGTTCACGAAGAGAAGATCTGTGAAACGAAAAAAAATTATATAAACAGTCAGCGACGTGATAATCACGTCGTAACCTTGCCACGTGATTATCACGTCGCAACGTCCCCAACGGTCTTAAACTGTGCACCCACTGCGTGCAGTCAACATCAAGGCAGAAAGTTTTTCGCCCCTAAAAGGTTGCGACATGAATATCACGTCACAACTTGAAATTTGAAAATTTTAAACTTCCCACCATGTGCAGGTAATAACTTTCTGAATTATATATTTTAATTAATTGATTACAGCGTGAGATTCAAGTCGTAACTTTTTTTATAAAAAATATTTTCTGACTCCTCTTTTGTTAATGTTACTTTTCATATTTTATTATTAAAATTATGTAGCGACGTGATTATCACGTCACAACCTGCCACGTGATAATCACGTCACAACTTCACTTCGCTGGAGAGGATTTATTTTATAGTGAAATTAGTGTAGAATCAAATTTTTGGATATGTTTACAAATGAAAAAAAACTGAATGATGAAATTAAAATGGACTCGTGGAATCAAATTTTTAAATATGTTTACACATGGAAAGAAACTGAATGATGAAATTAAAATGGGCTTGTCGAATCAAATTTTTAAATATGTTTACAAATGGAAAGAAACTGAATGATGAAATTAAAATGGGCTTCATAATAGATTAAAATGCATGTTCATATATATAATAAATATAATGAAGATATTAATTGATCTAAAATTTACTTCACTTAGCTACAATCTTTTCTCAAAATACACATCAAAGTTATTATGCAAATTAAAACAAATGTAACAATGGGAGATATCTAGGTGTTCTTATTTCCTACAAAAAGAGAATGTGAAGCAATTTAGAAAAATGGAGGAGAGTGGAGAGAGGTAGCTAATTAATTAATAAAATATTAATTTAAAATTTAAATATTAATTTAGAGATAAAATTGTACGGTTTAATTAATGGGATAATGGGTTAATGGGGGTAATGGAATCATGAATAAATAGACAAGTGTGCGAAACATTTAGGTTTTGAGAAATATATTTTTCTCAAAGTGTTAAGTTTGAATCATATTAAATATAAATTGTTTATTAAATAAATAAATAAATATATAATAAGTGAGAGTAAATATAGATGAATGAGTTAATGGGGGTAATAGAATCATGAATAAATAAATAATAAATGAAAGTAAATATAGATGAGTGAGTTTTCGCATGAATAATTTTTTAATTTATTAAATTGTGAGAGTAGTCAAAAAAATTTACTAAATTGTGAGTTTTGGTTAATGATTTAATGAGAAACTGTGAACGTGAGTGTAATCAATGTGAGTGGGTTTGAATTAATTAATTAATTATTAATTAATTAATTATTAATTTATTGAATAAATATTATTTTAAGTTTTGGTGGGAATTTTTTAATATAAGAAGTTATAGGATTATAATTTAGTATAGATAGAAAGATATAATTTAAACTTTTTTTTTATGATTTAAGTTAAAATATAATTATTAAAAATATTTAATAATATAAAAAAAGAATTTCATAAAGTATAATTTCATTTGAACTTTATAAAGTTTAAATACTAATTTGTTTCTGGTATAAATGACACACATTTATATAATATTTATTTTTTATTTTATATATATATATATATATATATATATATATATATATATATATATATATATATATATATATATATATATATATATATATATATATATATATATATATATATATATATATATATATATATATATATATATATATATATTTTAATTAGTATTTTACTTTTTTCATTATGTTTCTTTCTGTGTTTTTATTAAATACTTTTAAAAAAAAAAATTTTTTATTATAATTATAATTCTAATGTATAATTGATATAAAGTAATACTAACTTCTTATCATAAATTTAAAATTGGATATCATTAGTTTTATAATATAAATATTATAAATTAAAGTTTTTCTTTTTAAGAAAATAACATAATATAAATTATCATAAATTCAAAATTTGATATCATTAATTTTATAATATAAATATTATAAATTGAAGTTTTTCTTTGAAAAATAACATAATATAAATTGTAATCATGAAAATAAGATAATTATGAAAATATAATGTGAAAATGATAAAAATTGAATATGGTAAGTGAAAAAAAATAGAACATAATTTTAATAAAAAGATAAAATAGAACATAATTTATAAAAAGAACATAAATTAAAAAATATATAAAATAGAACATGATTTTAATAAAAAAATATTGTAGATTAAATAACAATATTTTATATTCTAAACAAATAAAGAAAATTGATATTTTATATAATGATCAATATATTTTATGATAAATTGCACCTAATGTAATTTAGATCGAATCATACTTTAAAACAGAAAAGACATTAGTTCTTAGAATTAAATTGAATCTGATTAAATATCAATTTTAAATTTTATATATATATATATATATATACATATATATATATATGAATTCTACTTTAAAAAATTTAAAAATATTATAAATAGATGTAAATTATATAAATGAATTGTATTATTAAATACACCAATTTAATAGGTGTATTCATTAATTCTAATAATGATAATAATCTTTTTCTTACTATTTATATCCCATTATTCATTGCAACACTCAAATATATGTTTCTCCTTTATTTTATCTTTTTTTCTGTGTCTCCTTGTTATTAGACTCTCTCAGATCTCTCTTATCTCTTCTTTCTGTGACTCCTTGTCATTAAAATCTCTCAGATCTCTCTTATCTCTTCTTTGTGTCTCTTTGTCATCAGACTCTCTCAGATCTCTCTTATCTCTTCTTTAGGTGTCTCCTCTTCTTTAAGTGTCTCATTGTCAATAGATTCTATCAGATCCCTCTCTTCTTTATGTGTCTTCTTACCATTGGATGTATGTGTCTCTCCCTCCTATCTCTTATGTCTTATGTGTCTCTTTGCTATTAGACTACTTAAATCCTTCTTATCTCTTCTTAGAAATATAATTTCTCTCTTCTCAATTTTCTCCCTTTAACCAAAATAAACCCATAAATTACCCTTCAATCCACAAACAAACTCATATGATACCCAACAAATCCATCTCACCTTCTTTAAAAACCAACATCAAACCCCAAATATTCATTTCCTATCACCAACAACTTCATCAAACTCTAAATATTGGTTTTTCACTCAAGAACAACTCTTCAACAGAAATTAATATACAATATCAATTACTCAATAAAAATAATTATAAAACATAAACCTAAAATTTTACTTCCATACTTTTTGTCAGTCAAGAGAAATATCTCTATTATTTCACTAAAACAGTAAGCAGTAGAAAAATCAAATTTATTATTGATAAAAAAACAACTACAGAAAGCCAAATCAAACAAAGATATGACAAGTCTTCTTCACTCTTGTACAAAAGTAACCAATCGCTGTATAAATGTGTTTGCACTCTCAGATTCTGGTTTGAACAAATGATAAACATGATTCTCATCTTTCTCTTCAAACAATTCCAATCTCCCATTCCACCCACTTTTCTTCACATTCTCCCAATACCAAACTCCTCTATCTCTTAACTTATCTCTTTCAGCAACACAAATAAGAATTCTAGAACAACCAAGTTTTTCCAAGCTAGGTGCACCTTCTCCCAAAGGATTCACCAAAGGGTTATCAATTCCATGAGGTGAATTTGGGTAACACAAATGCCAAACTTGATGAAAAAGATTATTCTCAGGCTCTATGACAGGTTCTGACCCAATTGGATAAGAGCTATTAAAATAAGGATGAATCATTATAGCTCCTAATATTTTAACATCACAAGGTAATGCTTCAGCTCCAGCTTGAATTGCAATGTTATGAGTAATGTTACCACCAGCACTATCACCACCAATGAAAACCCTAGCGAAATCGCCATGTTCAACCAATCATGGTTCTGGATTGTTGAGGGTGTTGTTGGAATGAGAAGATACCCATTTGAGTGCAGCCCAACAGTCATGGTAACATGCAGGGACAGGATGCTCAGGAGCAAGACGATACTCTACCGACAATATTATAATGTTTGCTTGTGATGCTAAGGTTTTCAAATGTTGATGGTAGAGTTGAGAAAATGCAGATTCGAAGAGGAAAGCGCCGCCGTGAAAATAGACCAAGATTGGAAATTTGGAAGATGGGTTTGTGATTTTTGGAAGGTAGATTCGAGATGAAATTGTGGGGTTGTGTGGGATTATGATGTCTTTGGATGAATGTCCTGTCTTAGGGTCATTGAGAATTGGAGGGACAAAAGGAGATTGTAATGGTCTTTCTATTGAACCGTCGCTAAAGATACGGATGAATGTTCCGAACTCAGTAACTATCTCTTTAGCGACGGTTTTTAGTGTAGAGGGTGTTATGGAAGCCATGATCAGTTGAAGAAGAAAAGATTGGTTGAAGAAGTTCAAGGTGTAATGTTTTTCCTATGTGATATGATAGGTTGGAATTTATAATATGATAAAACAAAACCAACAATTACATCATAAGTTTAACTATGTAATAATTTTATATTTTTGATCAATAAAAACTATTATTGTATTATTTTCTAAGATCCGATTTATTAAAAAAATTAAATATATTAAATAAATAACGTATTAGCTATATTAATTATTTAATATATTTAAAAAATATTTTCTTTATAAATAAAATCAATTGGAATAAATCATACATAAATTTTAAAATATTTCAATAATTTAATTAAATATACGTCATTTATAAATTAGATGTCAGTATAATATAATTTTATAATAATTTCATCTTTTATTTTCTTATCAAATTTTTATTTTCTTAAAATTAAAAGTGTGCATGATTAATTATTTTTAGAAATTAAATTATAATTATTTTTAAACCATTTAAATGGTTTGTATTTACAACAATAACTACATTTCAATTAAAACTGTTATATAATCAGTTTTTTTTTTTAAATTCAGTTTTAAATGATTTTAAAAAAACAGTATTTTTAAATCTATTATTTATAAATTTGAAAAAAAAAACAATTTATTTATGGAAATATTTTTTGAATAAAAAAATTAGAAAAAAAATATTTTTTCTAGAAATTTTTTGTTTTCGAAAAAAACATTTTTCCAAAAATTAAAAAAAAAATCAACTTGGAAAAAATAATATTTCTCTGGAATTTATTTATTTTTTAAACAAATTGCAAAAAAATTGTTTCCCAAAAATTCAAAAAATACTTTTGTTCTAGGAAAAAAAATCCAAAAATAAAAAAATCTAACAAAAAAAATTATTATTATTTTTTAGAATTAAAATTTTATAATTGAATTAAAATATTTAGATTATATTTGGATAATAATTAGATTCAAATATAAAATATGGATGGATAATCAATCATTAATAATTAAACTATTGTTTAAGAGTATTTTTGTATTTCTTTTTTAGTTTAATCGACGAGTTTCGATTTACATAATAAATCAACTAGTTTGATTTCGTAATTTAGAAAAATGACTCATTGCTTAACTTTGTTTCCACCAAGAACCAAACTCGAACTATTCGTTTTTAGTGAAAAAAAATTTCCCATTATAACTCAAATACTTATTTAGTTAATATCTGTATCATTATTGAGACCAATGTGAAAAAATTTCCCACACTTTTATTGCGGTTTAAATAAGAAACTTACGAGTTCCTTCTGAAGTTTTACACGGATTTATCCCAAAGTAACTCTACCCAAGTTCCTTCTGAAGTTTTACACGGACTTATCCCGAAGTAAACCTACCCAGGTTTCTTCTGAAGTTTTACACGAACTTATCCCGAAGTAACCCTACCCAGGTTCCTTCTGAAGTTTTATACGGACTTATCCCGAAGTAACCCTACCCAGGTTCCTTCTGAAGTTTTATACAGATTTATCCCGAAGTAACCCTATCCAGGTTCCTTCTGAAGTTTTACACGGACTCATCATAAAGCAACCCTACCCAGGTTCCTTCTTACAATTTCCAGATGTAATTTTACCCGGACTCATCCTGAATTAACCCTACCCGGGTTCCTTCTCTTACACTTCCAGATGACGTCTTACCCGGACTCATCCTGAAACAGCCCTACACAGGTTTCTTCCAATACGTTTCCAGGTAGCAGCTAATTTCATTCTCCCCAATAAATTACTACCAACCCTGGATTTCAACCAGAAAATAACAAACTTTCATCTCTCCAATCCAGAGATAACCCATCAGTAGAGTATTGGACAACTGAAGCTCCTAGACTCTATTCCCCAAGACAGAGACAAACATTCCTTAGCGAAGTCCTCCCTAACAACAGGAACAGGAATTCCCATGAAGGAATATCTCACGGAATCATCATTGTTTTGGATGGCATTTTTAAGCCCATCTCCGACGACTCTCCGTCACATTCTCTGGATGGCATCTTTAAGCCCATCTCCTACGAGTCTCCTTCACATTCTATGGATGGCATCTTTAAGCCCATTCCCGACGTCATCAACCATCAGTATTACTTCATGCGAGTGCAAATTTCTAGACACTCTAGTGTTCAATCATCTTCCTCTCTCAGATCATGAAAGGCATACAAGCCAATCTAAATCCTCAGGTTTAAGAAGATTGAACAGGGACAGCTGTTGTACCTCAAAATTTGTCCTCCCATTTTCACACAAGACATACTCCTGGAGATCCTCAATTGCTTAAGTTGACTAAGAATTGACCAGATAAATCCTCCTCTTAAGACAATAAGCCTCAAACTAGGGTTTCACTCCTCATTAAGATGGTTGAGCTCCAAGGGTCCCAAATGGTCTCCATTGTCCTAATATGTCCTCAAGATCATCCATGCCAAATTTCATGTCTTGCACAACAAGTTTGCTCAGTCAACTGCTCAAATGCCTGAAAAATAACTATGCTGGGTCAAAAGTCAATTGTGGCCCAAATACAGTCAAACTTCAATATTTTTGGTCAACATCAACATTTTGAAGTAATATCCATAATTTTATCAAGGGTTGATCATGATTCCTCAAGAAATGCTCCTAACTCATCAAAAGTCAAAAATGGCAATTTAGGGTTTCTATAGAAAAAGTCAACCAAACTTTGACCAAATATAACTTTCTCATACTTTATCAGAAAATTTCCAACCAAGGATCATTTTGAAGAGAATTCAATTCCCTATAATTTCTCTTCATCCCTCAAGTTCAAGAAATGCCTCAATCAAAAGATATAAGTTCAGACATTATAGGTATATTATTATGGATCTTAATTAGTTTCTAAAGGTTACTCTTGAATTGATTGCAAGTAAATTTTAAGATATATTGTTTTCATGGGGTTACTTTTAAAAGATCCATAAACTCTGCATAAAATGACAAATTTTAAGATATATTGTTTTCATGGGGTTACTTTGATTTTGAGATGCAATTTGAATGGACTTGACAAAACCCTATAAAATCATTGGCTATAAGAAAATATGCTGTTGGTTTTAAGTCCCTCTCAATAGTTTGGTTCTGTTTATTTTTAGATTTTGTTTCTTTTTCAGGCCTATAAGAAAAGTGGTTCTATTGACAAAGATTGCGGCAGATGAAAATGTCAAGGAGACTGGGGAGGAACAAATGCTAGAAAGAGGCAACCTGCAATTTTCGTATAGCTTAACTTCATTAAATAATAAACTTTATATTTATCTATGAAACAGAAGATAAAATAGATATAACATTGTTTTCGTATAAGTTATTATATCGTTTTCATAAACTAATATGGAGAGCTTATGAATAAGTTGATAATTCATAATTTCAGGTATCATAGTTATTTGAGACTGAGGGTACGAAATGATTCTTGGATTGGTAAGAATTTATTCTGAGATATGAAAATTTTGTTCTCAATTATAGTTGTTCCTTGGATTCTCAACTATAACAGTTTTTTGGATTTGTAATAATTGATTCTGAGATTTGTTCATTGCACAAGCTTCGGTTTAATTAGTAAGCGCCGATGACCACATGTATCCAAATTTTATTAATGTGATGCAATGGTTGGCCGAGAGCAACCTGCTTGAAATGATTGTTGATAAATTAAGCCCATTTGTAAGTGAAGCATATATCTAGGTTTATGTTTTCTGATCCAACTTTTATATATTATCTATATGATAATAATGCATTTGCACTTGGCTGGATGTCATACGAACATATTTTAAGACTATTAAATTGGATTTAAAATATAACTTGAAGTCATATTTTTATCCTACAGTTACGAATTATGCTGCTGCAAATGCTGACAGTAGGGAATTCATTCCTATATAAAATTCCTCTTGTCGTTATTACATCTTTCCGATCTTCTAGACCATGCGCAAATTGGTGAGGAAGCTGCTAGATTTGGCCTCGACGGCGGCGAGCATGCTGCTACATTAACAAAAAGAGAAATTGGGGAGGAATTCAATACAAGAAATTAATTTAATGCAAGGTATAAGAACTAAACTTTGGATCAATTGTCGATATTTAAGTAAAATTGTGATCAGATTTTTTTCCTTCCGAGTTACATTAGATGTTGATGATAGGTAATTTCTGGCGTGAATTGTGGCATATTCCATTTCTTTCGAACAACTATCTGGCAGGTTGGATCAATTTATTAGGAACCAATGAAAGGGAAATAAAGAATTGATAGAAACAATCAGACAAAATGAACTATTTTATTGATTACGTAGAATAGTGTATGATAAATACTTCTCCATGAATTTCTATTTTATGACCTGACCACTTTTTCTGATGTAACAAATCTCAACAAAGAAGATTGAGAACTCTAGACTGTGATTGAACATTGTACTTATCTCATGACAATGCTCTAAAAAATAATTTAAACATAGTAATGTTGTGTAATTGCTGGTGCATGATAAGAGACTTGTCTTTAAAGGAGTGTATTATATAGACAATTGATTGCCCATTGTATATTTGGATGTGTTGCTTATTCATTTAGAAGTAGTCTCCTCTATTTTGCTTGGTTTAAGTAACACTTTCTTGTGTTGCAGATATCATTATAGCGTAGCGGACAATAGGCTCGGGTAGCATGTAAACAAGGGTATTGAGGATGGGTTGTATATAAGTTGTGTGACCTCTTCAGCAAATTTGTGGGCTATAATCATGGACGCAGGACTGTAGAACTCTTAAAAACCGATACTCTTTAGGAATCAATGAGGATCAACTGGTAAGTCTAAAATACATTGCAAAAAGATCTACTTCGAAGGAGACTAAAGAAGTCGTCTACACAACAATAGTGAAACTTTTATTTTACTTTGACAGGTATGGAATTTTTGGGAAGAAATTCAAAGATTTATCCGGAAACATTTTTGAACCCGAACGTAGTGAATTAGTCTGTCTTAAGGAGCCACGAGATCATGGATTTCCTTATTCACTTACTGAAGAATTAACGAGTGTATACAGAAT